CCCCCCCCCCCCCCCTAAAGAAAAAGGAAAGAGGAGTTCATAGCCCCTGTGAAGAAGTCTTTACATATTTAGAGCTTCTTCTTTCCATAAATGATTGATAATTTTCCTTATAACATTATGAGAGAACAATAAAAAAAGAAACTTCTTTAGGAAAGAGAAGAGAAAGAGAGTGTGTAGTGTGAAGTACCTCTTGGATTATTAGTTACATTACTTAGTCTCTTGGAGCTTTCCCCTGATGCATCTAATTTAAGTATCATCAAGTATTTATCTAATTTTAATTTACTAGAAATTTTGAAAATTACAAGCTTATATCATGTATTTGTGAATTTAATTCCCTACAATGATAGAAACATGATGTCATCAGAATCTTTCTATGGGAACAAAACAGATTTGAACTTTAATCAGCATGTTTCACTAGTAAAAGGATAAAGAATGCTGGTAACAAGGTTGGAGAATGCTGAAAACACCTTTGACGTTTGTCTTGAATTCCGTTGGAGCAATAGAGGCAACACCATTTGGTTGTATAAAAATCTAAAAGAATATATAACTTGAGTATCATGCATAATCCTCCAACGTTCCACCCCTTGAAGGAAAGGAAAGAAAAGAAGTTCTTATTCAATATAAAGAAAGTTTTGTCTATGAAAAGCTTCTTTCTTCAAAAAGATTAATAATCTTTCTTTTAGTACTTTCCATTTCAAAAAAGGAAAACATCCATTTTCAAAAATCTTTTTTGTAGTACTTTGCAAGAATAGAGCAAGAAGAAATTGCTCTAGGAAAAGAGAGAGAGAGAGTACATAGTATTAACTGACACCTATGTTGCTCGGACTCTCCGAAAATGTGCCGGATACGTGTCGGATCTTCCAAAAGTAGTGCATTTTTGAAGGATCCGACACGGGTGCGGCTACATTTTGGAGAGTCCGCGCAACATAGACTGACACTATGTAGTAGAGTGAGAATGACACAATGTCAGATCACCTAGATTACTTGGTTTTTCGATTGCTTTATTTACCTTTTTGACATTTTCCCCTGATGTATTTAATTATTTTTTTCTCTTGAGTTGCTTCACTTGCTCATATGTTATTTCTAGACACCAAGTCTTCTCCACATTTGTGCACATAATTTGCAGATAAGGGTGCTTCTCCCTTTAATAAATGATTGATAATATGAAGAGCTTCTTCCTTTAATAAATGATTAATAATATCCTTATAGCACTTGAGAGAATGAGAGAATCTGCTCTAGGAGAAAGAAAAGAAAGAGAGTACATAGTTTGACCTGACGCTATGTCAGACGCATAGATTACTTGGATTTGAGATTGCACAACTTGGTCTTTTGGAACCTTCTTGATGCATTTAATCCTTTTTTCCTCCTGAGATGTTTCACTTTGCCATACCTTAGTTTTAGACACCAACCTTAACATCGATGCACATAATTGTGTTGAGTGCCATTGGAGTAATAGAGGTAAGAATAATGAAAGAAGAAACTGCTCTAGGAAAAAGAAGAGAGAGAGTACACAGTGTCAATGATGACCTAGATTACTTGGATCCTAGATTACATTACTTACTCTTTTGGTGCTTTCTCCGCAGACATTTAATTATTTTTTCCTCCTTGAATGTTTCACTTGGTTATATGTCAGTTCTAGACTCAAGCTTTCTTTGCCTGTACGCACATAATTTGCACATAATTAGCACATAATTTGCAAATAAGTGGTGATCCCAAATTTTTGGTAGGAATCCCTAGTATTTACTCTTCCATCAATTAGGATATGCATTTTCTACTTGACCCTAACACATAGAAATATTTTTGTTAATAGGCGGCGGTGAAACTCAAACTCGAATCCTCTGCCTAAGTTGGTGCCATCCGGAAAGAGAACATGTTGAATTGTGTGAACTACCTTATCTGAAAGCTCAAGTTTAGAGATATAACATAGTTATTTATTTATGTCTGCAACCTGATCCATAGGATATGGAGTCTACAAGGGGAGAAGTACATTGGGATTTGAAGTTTTGGAACAACTTGCGCAAGACTGGAAGGTCGAAGCACATGATAGTCAAGATGTATGGAGATGGGGTACGGGGGAGAACGGTGTCTTTTATGTAAGTCCTATTATGAGAAGTTTATGACTACGGAGGAATCGAGAAAGGTGTATGTTTTCACTTGGCTAGTTGCGTGTGGGGTAATCTTGAGGGCGGAGAACTTGGGGAAGAAGAAGTTTATTTGTTGGTTGGCGCTTCATGTGTAAAGACTCAGGGAAAGATGTGAATCACTTCCATTTACTTTGTCGAATAGCGTCTTAGTTGTGGTGGGAAATCCTGTGATGGTCTGGACCAGAGTGAGTAATGCCGAGCACTGTGAAAGAAACAATGTTTAGTTGGACATTTAGAAGAGGGAGGAGACACAGGGTATGGGATGCTGCTCCTCTATACTTATGGACTGTATGAAGAGAGAGGATTTGGAGCGCTTTTGATGGAGTATAGATGGTTTTGTACACTTGAGGAATAACCTTCTATCTCTTATTCCTTTTTGGTGCACCCACGAGGTTCCCATATGTATAAAAGATTGGGTGTCTTTTTTCTACCTTTTGGTATACCTCTTGTATACGGGCATTTTTTGCCCTTCTTTTGATGAATTTTTTACTTTATCAAAAAAAAAAAAAAAAAATGATCCATGTAGGATGACTACAAAAGTGAAACTTTTGATGGATTGTGAGAAGTAGTGATTCCTACTAATTTCAGAGATCATTATCTTAGTTGAAGAAAAAGTGTCATAGACTTATGTTTAAGATCAACTAATCAGATTATTTGTCTTTGCTTCTCCACCCAACAACAATAACATACCCCGTGTAATCCCACAAGTGGGCTCTAGGGAGTGTAGTGTGTAAGCATACCTTACCCCTACCTTGTAGAGGTAGAGAGGCTTCTCTATCCATTTAATCTAATAGTGACTCATCAAAAGCTAGTAATAACTAAAAGAGAAATGGAGCCAGTCCTTACTTGAGATGCTATTCTGGAAAAAAAGCCCAACTCTTCTTTGCACTCAGGGCAACACTTAGTTTCATTGACAACCAATTAGCTATATTCATCTCAATAAACAAACTTCAAAAAATGAAAGAAGGAACTTTAAGTTTGACAATGTTGATGGTGATCTTTCACAGTCAACGTTGCTAGCTAAAGATATACTTTTGTTGCATTTGTACTACTAGATAGTTGCTCAAATAGCATATATATTTATCCTTTTAGTCACACTTAAAGAGCTTTAAATCTTGGAAATCTATTATTCTGTCACTTATTCTAGCTTAAGTTGCTTTTTGCGAATTGATATATAATGCAAAACATGCTTATATTTATGTGTATGATTGGTCAAAGTTCTTCTGTGGTAATTTAATGAACGAAATAGAGAGCTTTTTGTACTGACCTTATTTCTATTTACCCATGCTACCTATTATGTTTATAGTATAAAGAGTGAGGATTGACGAATTTGTATATCTTGTGTAAGCATGCAAATGCAGAAATGGCTCACGAAAACTCATGTAGGCATTCTGAAGGCAAAGGTTAATAGTGGTGGCTTTGTTGCAAGTTTACTACATAGAGTACGATGCAAACATTTATAAAATTTCATCTAGGTTGCTATCCATTGAAACTTCTGTATTGGCTGGTTTTCCAGAATCTTTTACTTCAGATCATTGGCCACCTTTTACTGAATCCACTGACAACGTTCTATCTCCTCTTTGTTTTTTGCCTGCACAATAAGAATTGTATCAAACTTATGAATTGATCCAGAAAAGAGACCACTGATATATCTAATATCTAATCAACTGAACTTTTAAGTGCAAGAAATACAAATATCTTAAGGTTTATTTGTTGAGAAAGATATCTACTTTTTATAGACTTCTAGGTGCTGTAGTCTTTATCATCTAGCGTTGATGCATTAACGGTATGGACTAATGCAGTAAAAAGCTGAAAATTTAGAGTATCTGACTAACTAAGTTGAGGTAGAAAACATCAAGTCGAATATAAAAGATATTATGTCTGGAGAGGTAGCAATGATTTGATTACCTAATACTGTACACCGTTTCAAAGTTGAAATTTATACATACGTTTTGCATTAAATAGATTTAAGTCCCTGCTTAAAATGCCATGTAAGATTTAGGTGAAAATCACTTAGATAGGCTGTAATTTGCTGCAAAAGTATATCATTAAACATTCTAGCATATCTCCCACAAACCATAATTTATTGAAAGTAAATATTTCTTGAATAATGTAATTGGTTGCCATTGCCGATATTTTTTATTTAATAAGTAAACATTTAATTTTTCCTGCTAGACTATTTTTCGTATTGTTAGTTTATAAGTGTATCATTTGTCGCTTACATGTTTGCTATTGTTATTTTTATAGGCAATAATTGCCGCTAGCTGTTTCTGGTTTTGCTATTATGTAGTTAACCTTAGATGGAAGGTTTTGGGGGAGGGCGGGGGGGGGGGGGGGGGTTAAGAGGTGTCCTGCAAGTCCTACAATGGTAGCTGTTTTCCCTTAAAAAGTATTTTTCATGAAAGCTTAAACCTAGAAATTACAGGCTCTACTTATCTAGAGAAGATGTTTAATATCAGTGCTATTTACTAAATTAGCTCATCACCTATGCTCTTATCTGTCGCATAGCGGGTGGTCCCAAAATTTTGGTAGGCATCTCTAGCATTTACTCTTCCATCAATTACGGTTTACTATCATGTTTTATAATTCTCCAAGTAGCATATAAGTAAATACTTAAGCAAAATTTATGAGAAAGATGAATAAAAAATTCCCTCCCATATCATCAATCTGTGAATTCAATTGCCTAAAATGATAGAAATAGAATGCATGTCAATCTATCTATGGAAACCAAAGAACTTTCAAATGCTAATCAACAAATTTTACTAGAAAAATATATAAACAACACTGGTAGGAACAATGGGAGAGGTGCTAACTAATGTTAGGCGTGTTGGAAGACGTTTGACCTTTGTCCTTTGTGTTGAATGCCAGTGGAGAAATAAAGATAAGCCCACTTATTAGTGTAAAAATTTAACAGATTTAGATTCATGAAATGTAACTTGAGTATCATGCACCCCCCCCCCCCCCCCAATCCCACCCCACTCCACCCCTTAAGAAAACAATAGAGAAGCTCTTACCCAATTTAAGAAAAATTTTGTATAGGAAGAGCTGCTTCCTTCAAGAAAATATTGATAATCTTCTTTGAGAGAATAACGAGAGAATAATTTGCTCTACGGAAAAAAATTGAAAGAGAGAGTGCTGAGTGTGAACCGAGACTGTTAGATTACTTGGATCTTTGATTACATTACTTACTCTTTTTGCACTTTCTCCTTAGGCATTTAAATAATTTTTCCTCCTTATGAAGCCAAAACTTACTTTAATTTCAGAAGAGAGAATCCAAAGGCCCCGATTCTTCTTCTACCAATTAGTACAAAAATTAAATAACTACCCTTATATACCAATACATACCGGAAAACAAAAAGAAAAAAAACTATTTAATAGGAAAATCAAGAAAACAACAGAGGTAGAATTCACCAGATACAAAAAAAGGTTGTCTTTTTCAGTTCATTGCAATCAACTTCTTCCTTCATTTTATCAAATCCTCTTGGTTTTAATCTGGACGACATGTCAGAAGATCAGTCTTGTTTGGTTTCAAAGGATTGTCAGAGAGAAAGTAACTTGGTGGCTTGCATGAATGGCAAAGAGCCATTGGTAAATTATCAGGAGCGTGAACTTGTGAAATGCAAGTTGCCAAATAAGTCTGATACTTTCAACAGAGTGGAAGTCGCTCTATCTTTGGGCAACTTTTCAGCATCCCCGAACGAGCAAGCTGGCAATAAACGTCATGCTGGGAATAATTCTGATTCGAGCTCTTTTATTCATGCGATTGGCCGTGACAATTCCATCGGTTGTCTCATTCATTGCTCTCGATCGGATTATGGCGCCATAGCATCTTTGAATCGTAGCTTTCGCTCATTGATTAGGAGCGGAGAACTTTACAAATTGCGGCGGGAAAATGGTGTGGTTGAGCATTGGGTTTATTTCTCCTGCCAACTAGTTGAATGGGAAGCTTTTGATCCTAGTCGCGGTCGTTGGATGCATCTGCCAGCTATGACTCCTGATGAGTGTTTCGTGTTAGCTGACAAGGAGTCGTTGGCGGTTGGCACAGAGCTGCTTGTGTTTGGAAAGGAGATCTTTTCGCATGTCATTTATCGTTACAGTTTATTGACAAACACGTGGTCATCTGGGATGCGGATGAATGTACCAAGATGTTTGTTTGGTTCTGCCAGCATTGGGGAGATTGGCATTCTAGCTGGTGGCTGTGACTCACAAGGCAATATACTTAGCTCAGCTGAACTTTACAATTCGGAAGCAGGAACGTGGAAGACTTTACCGAGCATGAAGAAGCCACGTAAGATGTGTTCAGGTGTATTCATGGATGGAAAATTTTATGTGATAGGAGGAATTGGAGGAGCCGAATCGAAGCGGTTGACTTGTGGGGAGGAGTATGATCTGGAAAAAGGAACGTGGCGTGAAATCCCAAACATGTGTCCTGTGCAAACTAACGCTACTACATCTGATGCACCTCCTTTGGTGGCAGTTGTAGACAATGAGCTGTACGCGGCTGATTATGCTGACATGGAGGTGAGGAAGTATGACAAGCAAAATAAAGCGTGGGTTACCATAGGACGGCTGCCCAAAAGAGCAGCTTCCATGAATGGTTGGGGTTTGGCTTTTCGAGCATGTGGTAACAGGCTAATTGTAATTGGTGGACCCAAGGGAGGTGCAGAATATATCGAAGTGAATTCATGGGTTCCAAGTGAAGGGCCGATACAATGGGACTTGCTTGGCCGAAAGCCATCTGGTAGCTTTGTGTATAACTGTGCTGTCATGGGGTGCTGATCTTATAATCCCGGTCTTTTGTCCTTGATGATGTTATCTTGGTCCATGTTTCATTCTGTTTTAAATTCATGTTTGTTCTTTGCTAGCCATCTTTATCGTTGTACTGCAACAAGCATTTAAGGGGAAAAATAGGACAATGAAATTCCATAATTGTACGCTGATAGACAAGCGAACTCCTATGTCATCTCATCTTTATTTTTCCTCCTTTATATGATTAGATATGTTTGAAAAATAGTTGCATCTTTGTGAAGCCACACCATTATTCTTGAGATATGACATATGCATGTGTTTTACGTGACTTCTTCATTCATTCCCTCTGAAGTTTTAGTTAATTCACTCATAACTCTTTGCATTTGTTAATTTCTCTCTACATCTTAGTCTCAGAGCATCTAGTTCTGGAATGAAGGAGGGACACATCCACCGCAATTTGCTGCAAAGAGGAGAAGTGGAAAAGAAGGTGAAGTGCATTATACCTTAGAACTCTTTTGAGGTTTGATTCCTGCGCTTGGTAAAATTAGTGTAGCATTGCGTACCCTTGTCTTGGATATTTTTTAACCTGTTACATTCTTCACTTACTTTGAAATTTAAAATGATAATAAAAGAATCCGAACTCATTTTCTAGTCGACTTATAGAGACTATTCCACATGCAACATCTCTTTTTCCTGTTGCATATTGGATTATGTCGCTGTTAATAGACTTTCATGTTCATTCTTGAAAGTTATCATCCAGCTGGAATCTTTTCATAAGCAAATCCATTTGATCTCTGTAGATTACTGTGACTAAATTAAATCTCCAAATATTAAATGAGTGATAATTACTTTTCCAGAATAGCATGTGCAGTAACATTATAATGGTCAATAAGAAGTTTTCACATCTAAATGCAAAGAGAATCTTGAATTTTTTTCCTGTTATTACTTACCCTTTTGGCTCTTAATTCTTTTTCCCTCTTTGGAGGTTCACTTGGTCATATCTGAGTAATTAACTGTTATAATAAAGTGCACCCTCTTTTTAAAATTTGAAGGGAATTTTTAGTTTGCATCTATAGAACTCGGTATCCTTGTCCATATGTATTAACTGTGCTGAGTGTGCACCCTGTTGTTATTTGTGATAGTTGAATGTATTCATTAGTGAAGCCAAAAATGTAAATAATGATACAGCTAAGTACTGTCTGGATTTGTATTACTTGAATAGCCTTCTTTTGGTTTTTTTCTCACCTTCATGAGGTTCTCATTGTTATTTGGGAATATAATGCCATGTGTTATTACGGTAAAAATATAGCCGCATCCAGCCAAAACAATTTAACCTTAGTAGTATTGCTATGGCTAAATACTTTATAGTAAATATTTAGTCGTACTTGGTTTATACACCAAATCAATCAATATAACCTTAATAGCATCGCATTCCATTATTTCTTAGTTTTACGTACTCAACATATGTAGCGAGACCGTAACTTTGGCGTCCCTAATCCTTGTTGATGTCCATATATAGCATGGTTTTTTCTTCAAATACATGAAGTGGCAAAACATTGAATGCATGGATTAACATGCATTTTCTTGTATCACTTTTGGCTTTCTTTTTTCCCTTTTTGGGTTGTGAAAAGAAATATTTAGCTATTTTCCCTTTGATGGTTGCTTCTAAATTCTGATGGGAAGATAAAATTGATGGGAAACAATTAAATCAGTTAATATAAAGCACAAGTGAATGTAGCCTTCTTTCTGAAATTCAAACAGGGTGTTTTGCACTTGAAAATAGGTTGTATTTTAGATGGAAAGCCTAAAAAGATTTCATAGCCATTGTAAGCAGGATGAGATGAAAACTTTTACTGTGTTCCTTTCTTATTTATCTGGCTCCAAAATGGGTCTAAAGGGCAGTTAGGTGGATAAAGCATCCCACATTTACGAAGGGTCTGGGAAAGGGCCGTGCCTCAAGGGGTGTAATGTAGGCAGCCTACCCTGATGCAAGCATTAATAGCTGATTCCACGGCTCGAACTCGTAATCTATAGGTCATACAGAGACACTAGTTAAGGCATTTTATTACGGAGCAAAAGCTGAAAGTTAACAATGTGCTTTGCCTTTAGTTGCTTTCTAGTTCCAATGATGGGTGCAGTGGTCAAAATCTGTTTGGGACAAGCTCATCATCAATATTGCGACACAAATCTCAACCAAATGTATTCAACAAGTAGGCATGGCATATGGCTGATTTTACGGTTCGAACTTATAATCTATAGGTCATACAGAGACACCAGTTAAGGCATTTTATTACGAAGCAAAAGTTGAGATCTTTAGCTGAGCATATCGTCGATCAAGTCAAACCTTAGTGACTATGACACACTATTAGGGAAACAAACTTATAGGATCTTGGGATGAGGTTTTGCCCATATCTAAGATCTTGGCCCGTCCAACAACAATAGAAATTGTTATCACGGTCTAATAGTTATGAATTATGATCTTTAGGAGTACAAAGAGATGTGATTTCATAAATGAATTGGAGCATCAAATCAAATGTTACAGACAATATAATTTTAGTTGTGAAACTACAATCCGCCAAAACTATTCAATTGGGATAGCAAAAGTAACTTCTACAAATTAGGTCAAGAGGGAACTGAATATATGTTACTAACAATCAGATGATAGTCACCTTTTGCTTCTCAAAATTTAACTTAATAACATTTGAAAAGGAAAATAAAACCCAGTAGGAAAAAAGTTCTAGTGAAGGAAAAAGAGTACACATATCTAACAATACGCATTTTGGTTGTCTCGTTAAAAATCTTGTAAGGAAAACCCATTGGGACAAAACCTCGTAAGGGAAAAAGAGTACAACGCGTATTAACTCCCCCTGATGAGAGCATCAATTCACATCCTTGAGCTTTTGCATTCCAATATTGTGCACCATATTCAAAAGATGGTTGGTAGAAATTTGATAAATAAATCAACCATATTAACTTGAATGAATTTGTTGCACCTTGAAATCATCATTCTTGAGTGATATGTAATGTCTTCATAAAGTGCCGTGGAATGTCGTTTTCAATATCTTCATAGAGGTATTCTTGCTATCACATTATCATGCTTATAGCTATAGCAAGATACATATGTGCACAAATTGCACTTAGGATGTAGTACTTCATGACCATGAATTCTATATGCTTTAAGCATTTTAAATCATCCAGGGATTGTTAAGTCATATGAGCCAAATAAATAGAATTTAGATGCATATCATGTTTTCATATCAAACTAGACAAATAAGATGTCGAAAACTGATTGCACATATCATTGACTTTATACTTTCAAGTATTTGAACTACATGTTCAAAATTACATGTCTTTCATATGAAACCAATTCTATTCGAAATTGTTTCTCCAGATTTAAGATCCTCATATATATTTAGCACTATCATAGATGTCGTCGACGAATATTTTATATCGGTTCCAATATTTTTTCATAAAGACATAACATAGAGATCTCTTCATTCATTTCAGGTACCTGAATCTTCCATGCGATTTTATGAAGTGTTATGTCATGTGATCTTCTAGATCACTTGCCTCCTTTATTATGATCATTTTGATCATTTGCTCATCTTCTTTATCAAGAAGTTTATTTGAAACCGATTTGTCTATATGCTTTAAGCGTACCATAGACTTTATCCTTCTAGGACTTAATAGGAGCATTTGCAACGAGAATATAGTTACTTTCTTTGGGTCAGCAAATGCGTCTGACATGCTTTGCAATATATTACAGATGAATTATCTTTTTTATGAACTTCAAGTTCATATTATTTTATTCGAGGATCTAGATGTACACATGATAATTCATTCCACGTAACTTTTTCTCAACTGTTTATCATGTCTCCCTCTCATGTTAGAAAACTAACTTGCTTACTCAAGTTTGGAAACCCACTTTTGTGCGTTATGGTGTTAATTAAAATATACACCGCATATCAATAATAATAAGATGAGATTATTTGGTTCCTGACCCTGAACCACTTGTTGTCACGCCCCAAAACCAAGGGACATGACCGGCACTCGACCGGGTAGCCCCAGTCAAGCGGACCTGGGTGCCTTTCCTATCCCACGTGTTACCCCGTGTTTTCATTACTCATTAACCAAAGGAAATAACCACTTGTAATTAAAACACCCTTTTTTCGAAATATACATAACGAACATGATTAATTAGCGTGGTTTACAACTTACATCGCCCAACATACAAAATACATATTACATAAGTTCACAACCCACATTTCCTATCTACGGAGCCTCTAAGGACATAAAAAGGATGATACAATACTTGCCGGTAACAAGGTTCCGGCTATACCTTACACAAATACCAAAACAAGACTCCGGAACAAAAGCGGCATGAGCCATGCAGGGCCCCGAGAGGAAAGAGGCTCACCAATTCAGCTGACGGAAAGTGAAGGAATGCTATGGACGGTGGACTGGAGTACCTGCTATAGATCTACCTACAATCATAACACGAATGTAGCGCCCCCGGCAAAAGGGACGTCAGTACATTTGAATTGTACTGATATGTGTGAACAAACTTTACCCCAAGTAAACTCAAACCATACACAAGTAACAAGTAGTAATGGAATCCACAATCAAATGCACATGAAAGGAACAACCAAAGTCAAACAAGTTTTCACAATCTCTCCTTTCCCCTTCCGACATCATCTCATCACATCAATGATTTTACAACTTTCACATATGTTCATTTCAATAGTGAATTCGATCACTTTTCCACCCTTATTACCTCTGCCACCCTTATTACCTCGGCCACCCTTATCACCCCAACCCACAATTTATCATTTTGTGTTGCGGCGCGCAACCCGATCCCAGCGGACAACCACATTTCACACAACATCAATAGTCCACAGTTCAATCACATGGCTTCAGGCCATCCAGGATATCATTTCACAACAACAATAACAGTAATTCACCAGGAACAACAACAACAACTCCCAAGAACTACAACAACAGTTCACAAAGAATTTCCATAGCCATCAATACCATTTCCATCATATTCAATAACTCATATGCATTTTATGTCACAACGATAATTGCCCACGACAAGCCATATATGTTATTACCACAATTGTTCCAATTGCATCATTTGCGATTTCCTTCTATCATTTGTTGCTCAGCTCTTACCACCTAACACTTTCACAATCACACATTTGGTTTATTGCCAATTGTTTACACCATTATATCGGGAGACTTAAC